AAAATAATACCAATTTTATTTATTAATGGCCTGCTTTTATCAGTATTTGTAGTGTTTATGAGATATTAAACGTTTAGAATATATTGTAAATATAAAAATTTAAACCATTAAAAATATATTTATTTATTTAAATAATTACAAACTTTTAATATAATAGTTACTCAATTAATAAATTTCATTTTAAAATTTATAAACTTAAATAGGAAATGTGTATTTTCTAGAAATCTATTACTAAAATATAATAAAATAATTTAAATTAATATAAATTAATATAAATCAATAACGTCATAATTTACATACCAGACAAATCCGCATATGTATCTAACTGAACAGAATTGCCGAATTGTGATTCAGAATCAGAATTATTATCATCATTCACGACTATATAAAAAAAAAAAAATTAAAACAAAAAATATCACTTTTTAATTATTTTATTTAGATACATACTTTTAGCTGATTCAGCTGTTATACTATTTCCAAAGCCCATCTTCAAAAATTCTTCTAATACCTTTTTAATAGTTGGTCGTTGCTTCGGTTTTTGATTCCAACATTTTTTATAAAGTTTTTCGTAAACTTTGGGAGTACCTTGAATAGCAGTTTCACGAACTTTATAATAAGTAATCGCATTAATTAGATCATTATTATCACTAAATTTATCTTTAAATGGAGAATATCCGCTAGTAATTTCCCACATTAAAACACCATAACTATAAATATCAGAAGGTTTGATATATTTAAAATTTTTGTCTGCAAGTATTTGTGGTTCCATATAGGCAATTTTACCAAAAATTCCAATATGCATTGTGGAATTATTTTCGATTTTTGAAATACCAAAATCTGTAATTTTGGCATTATTTTCATGAATAACTATATTTTTCGAATGCTAAATTAAAATAATAAATTAACACAAAGATTATCGAAAAAAAATAAATAAATAAAGAAGCATATTTACAAGATCTCTATGTAAAACATTTTCGTTATGCAAATAATTTAATCCATCAGCAATTTGGAATGCTAAATTTTTTTTATCATTCCAAGTTAACTTTTCAAAATTTTTCTCAAGGTAACTTTGAAGATTACCACCATTTGCATATTCCATTACAAAATAAAATTCATTTGTAGTTTGATCTGTAAATAAAAATTGTTAATTAATTAACAAGTAAATTTATAAGAACGAAATCAATTAGAAAGTTTACTTTGACTAATGCCTAAGAAGCGTATAATTCGATTACTATAATTAAGATGCATATGTATTTTTATCTCATAAATAAATGCATTTAATAAATCATCATTACAATTAAATACTTTCGTATTGGTTAATTTTTTATAAACAATATAATCATTTGTTTTTATCCAAGTTGCTTTTAAAATACTTCCAAAACCTCCTTCATCAAGTGGCTTTGGATCAATCAAGTCATTATATGGTATAATTTTAACCTTATTTTTCAAGGAGTTATTGATCATTTCTATTATATTAATATTTACTATGATTTTGATAAATAAAATAAGTTATTATAAATTAATAAGATATAAAACATTTACTCAATTCTAATACTTTTTATAAATACATACTTTTACCTGACTCCTCTATAAAGTCAATTTTTGAAAATTCTTCCAAAATGTCCATAGTTGTAGGTCTTTTCTCGGGTTCTTGGTCCCAACATCTTTTATAAAGATTTACATAATTATCAGGTGTATTTGGTATAGTATTTTCACGATATTTATTCCTAATAATAGCTATCATTAATAACCTCCTTAAATGGAGGATATCCGCTAGAAATCTCCCACATCAATACACCATAACTATAAATATCCGAAGGTTTAATATATTGAAATTTTTGATTTATAAGTATTTGAGGATCTATATACGCAATTCTACCGCAAAGTCCCATATATATAGTGGAATTATTTTCAATTTTTGAAATACCAAAATCCGTAATTTTAGCATTATTATTATGAATAACTATATTCCTAGAATGCTAAATATGATTGTAAATTTAAATTAATTAATAATATATATATTATAAAGTAAATAAATAAAAAGATAATTACAAGATCTCTATGCAAAATGTTTTCATTATGCAAATAATTTAATCCATTTGGAATTTGAAATGCTAATGCCTTTTTATTATTCCAAGTTAAATTATTAAAATTATTTTTAAGATAATTTTGAAGATCACCGCAATTAGCATATTGCATTATAAGTAAATATTCATTTGTATTTGGATCTATAATTTAATATTCAATTAATAAAATTATTTTTTATAAAAAACAAAATTAAATATTAATTATAGTAATTACCTTGACTAATTCCCAAACAATGTATAATTTGATCACAATAATTAAGACATAAATGAATTTTTAATTCATGAATAAAAGCATCTAATAAATTATACTTGATTATATTTGTATTTATTAATCTTTTATATACGACATAATTACCAGTTTTTAACCAGGTTACTCTCATAATACTTCCAAATCCACCTTTATCAAGTTGTTCTGGATCAGTAAATTCATTAAAAGATATAAATTTAACCTTATTTTTTAAGGTTATATTAATAAATTCAATTGTATTATTATTTTGATTGTTATTTAAAATATTAGCTTCATATTTTCCAAGATTTCTTTCTGATTTAGTTATATATTTTGAAGACATTTGATGCCATTCAGATGCTTTTTCTAAATCTTCATTAATTCCTATACCATACTCATAACATTTAGCTAAATTATATTGAGCCATCTTATTTTCATTTTCTGCTGATTTTTGATACCAATAAAAAGCTCTTTTTAAATCTTTTTTAATTCCAATACCTTTTTGATAAAAATTTCCTAATTTGAATTGTGCATTTTCATTATTATTTTCTGCTGATTTTTGATACCAATAAAAAGCTTTTTTTAAATCTTTTTTAATAATTATACCTTCTTCATAAAAAAATCCTAAATTATATTGTGCAAATTCATTTTCATTTTCTGCTGATTTTTCATACCATTTGAATGACTCATTCTTGTTCATCTCAATTCCTAAACCATATTGATAAAAAATAGCTAAATTGCATTGTGCAATTTTATTTTCATTTTTTGCAGATTTTATATACCAATAAAATGCTTTTTTTAAATTTTTTTCTACTTTTATACCTTTTTCATAAAAATAACCCAAATCATTTTGTGCATTACTATATTCTTGTTTAGCTGATTTTTCATACCATTCAAATGCTTTTGTAATATCTTTTTTAATACTTTTTTCATAATAATAATAATTACCCAAATTATATTGAGCAACTTTATTTCCTTTTTTTGCTGACTTTTGATACCAATAAAATGCTTTTTTAAAATCTTTTTCAATTACAATTCCATTTTCATAAAAAATCCTAATTTATTTTGTGCATTACTATATTCTTGTTTTGCAGATTTTTCATAAAATTCAAATGCTTTAATATTATTTATTTTAATTCCCCATCCATTCTGATAACATTCAGCTAAATAATATTGTGCAAATTTATTATCATTTTTTACTGAATTTTGATACCAATAAAATGCATTTTCTAAATCTATTTTAATTCCCCATCCATTTTGGTAACATTTAGCTAAATTATATTGTGCATCATTATTATTTTGAAAAGCTGATTTTTGATACCAATAGAATGCTTTTACTAAATCAATTTCACTTCCCCATCCATATTGATAACATTTAGCTAAATTATATTGCGAACTACTATTATTCTGTTTAGCAGCTAGTAAATACCAATCAAATGCTTTTTTATAATTTTTTCTAATTCCCCATCCATTTTGATAATATTGCGCTAAATGAAATTGTGCATTACAATTGTTTTCTGCTGATTTTTGATACCAATAAAATGCTTTTTCTAAATCTATTTTAATTCCCCATCCATTTTGATAACATTTAGCTAAATGTAATTGTGCAATTTCATTACTATTATCTGCTAATTTTTGTAACCAATAAATTGCTTCATTATTTTTATTTTCTGCTGATTTTTGATACCAATAAAGTGCTTTTTCTAAATCCGTTTTAATTCCCCATCCATGTTGGTAACATTTAGCTAAACTACATTGTGCAATTTTATTATCATCTTCTGCAAGATTTTGAAATATATGAACTGCTTCTTTATTGTCATTTTCTGCTGATTTTTGGTACCAATAAAATGCTTTTCTTAAATCCATTTCAATTCCCCAACCATTCTGATAACATTTAGCTAAATATAGTTGTGCAATTTCATTATTACTTTCTGCTAATTTTTGTAATAAATAAGCTGCTTCTTTATTACAATTTTCTGCAGATACTTGATACCAATAAAGTGCTTTTTCTAAATCCGTTTTAATTCCCCATCCATGTTGGTAACATTTAGCTAAACATAATTGTGCAATTTCATTATCACTTTCGGCTAATGTTTGAACCAAACAAACTGCTTCATTATTATCATTTTCTGCTGATTTTTGATACCAATAAAAAGATTTTTCTAAATCAATCTTAGTTCCACATCCGTTTTGATAACATTTCGCTAAACTTAATTGTGCAATTTTATTATCACTTTCTGCTGATTTTTGATACCAATAAAACGCTTTTCCTAAATCCATTTCAATTCCCCATCCATTTTGGTAACGTTCAGCCAATTTATGTTGTGAATTTCCATTAATTTGATTGGCTGATTCATCTTGAGTACTAAAAATATATTACGGTACATTAGATAAATTTAAATTATTTATAATAAATATAACGTTAAAAACTTACAATATAATCAATATAAACGTATAAAGCATAATAAATTATTTAAAAAAAAATTTCGTTAAAATTTATACTATTAAAATTCAAAAATATAAAATAACTACTATCTATAACAAATCTAATTATCACCACAGGTGATATCGCCGATGTCATAAAAGAGTAAAAAAAAAAAAAAAAAAAAAAAAAAACTTTTTTCACAGGCAATAGAAATAGAATAGTTAAATGAAAGCTTCAATATCGTAAAAGTTTTATTTAAAAAAATCGTTACACAAAATATGAAATATAATACATCCAATAAATTAAATATCCTGCAATCTATTGAATATAAAATATTAATATAATTTATATTAAAATGCTTACCGTCTTCATTCTCTATTATTTTTAACATGGTAATTTATTTAGAGGAAAAAAAAATAAAATAAGAAAAAAAGATCATTTATTTGTAAACAATCAATTAATCTTGTGTATCATGAATTCCAAAAATAGTTGATTTTTAATTTTTTAATTATATTGCAGGCCAAATGTCACGAGACAACAAAAAGCGATAATGAAACAGATCGCGTTAATTATTACAAAAAAAATATGCGCTGTCAATTTTTTTGCTTTATTGTAACAAATCTAATTAAAAATTTTCATTTTATATAAATTACAATATTTTGGCCGGACAAATCTATCACAAAAATCGGGCGACCAAGTGCCAACACTGGAAAACATCAAGGAAATATATGAATATTACCGGTAAATTCAATTTCAATAAGGAGAAATCCTGTACAATTTCACTAACTAATTTGGAAAATTAAAACAGTTAATAGTTTCCTTTAAATCAATTGATATATTATTAACTTCAAAGGTTGATGTGATATCGCAATTTACAGAAATTAAATCACATGATCGGAATTATTCCATAGTGCGTAGACATACTGTATATAGTCCTTCGCTTAGCTCTTGGACAACTATGAGTTTTTCTGTCCGCTCAAGATTCATGATCGATATATATGAATTATTAAAATCATTTGATTGGAAATGTTACACAAAATGATGATCTCACTATTTTAATTTATTGGCTCCAGTAATTTGAATATGGGCGAATAATTCAGAAGTTACAAGCATAGTTAAACTTTTCATGGAATATAAGCTATAGTAATATTATAAATATTACAATAGCCTATAGCTATTTTTGTTTTTTTTTTTAAAGAATGGTCGTTAGATAAATAATTAAAGGTATAGTTTATTAAAATTTGAGTTTTCTTAATTTTTTTTGTTTATAGCGTCTATTACTTATTAATTAAATGTAAAATTATTTCAGTTTGAACCTTCTCTTAAGAAAGTTTCTTCCGACTTCATCCTTGTCCTTTTGAAATTTTTTTTAAATCTCTGTCCAATTTCTGTCTCCTTTGAAAAAACTCCGATCCGACATCTATATTTTAAATTTTTTTAAAAAAATTTGTCCGACTTTTATTTTAAATTTCTTTTGTAATAAATATCCGAGAAAACCAAAAAACAACAAATTTATGAATTTTCAAATGACACAACCTTTATTTAAGATTCCTAAAACAAATCTTAGCATGGTCAGAAAGAATTATGTTGTCACCACTACAATAAATTAATAGTGAACGAAAATCATCGGTTGTGAAGAAGCAGCAATGTGCTCATCCTAATCATGAAGTATATATATAAAATAGTAAGAAAGGTCGACCACGAAAATATATTCTTGTAAAAATTACACAACGGCTTCAACCCATTTTGAATCTTCTAACTGGCCATGTCTTATTACATTGGATCATGACAATAATCTTCCGATTATCAGCCACCAATATAAAAGATACAAATTCAAATATGAATTTTAAACATCATGATTATGTTCTTCGTAATAATTGCTTATATTTGGCCAAAGAATTTGAGAAATTAGAAATTGCATATCGTGTAATTTGCAAAGAATTTGATCAAGGTAAATCAAGTATGATATCTACGATGGTCGGTCATTTCTTTTGGTTGTGGGAAAACAATTCTACTCCAATTATTATTATCAATCGTATTTGATATTTCAAGCTATATACTATAGTAAATTTAATGATATATGAAACCTTTCTTGTAACTTACCGGGCCTGGTTAATGTGTCTATGTACGGAATCATTACTTTCATATTCATTATTTAACAAAGTAATCTGCAATCATTGGAGTAAGTGCAAAAAAAAAGAGATTTTCTTAACAGGATTGATTATTCTCAACTGAAGAATAAAAAAGGGGTGGATAATTAAATAGAATTTATAGTAGTATAGATAAAGATGATAATCGGTCTCAAGGATTTCTAGTCTTTTCGGTCTTACATTATAAAAGACCGATAACCACAGTCCTCTACAGTCTTCTGTTCATGTGAATATAGTCAAAAGACCGGCAATCTTTTTGTAAAACTTTGGTCTTTTTTTAAAAACCGCGGTCCTCAAAAAGACTGATCAACAACATTATTAGTTAAGCAAGGTTTCAAAGTAATATAACTAGAAATGTTTAATAATAAATGCTCTATCTTTATATAAAAGTAAAATAATGACCTTGAGTTTGAGGATCACCTAATACTGAGATATCATCATACGTAATTAACGTTAATACTCAAGATACGTAATCCCATTACAATTGCTGTGAAATTATTTCGTTAATTCTGGAAGATTTTATAAATAAGTTAATATCAAAGATAATTTTAAATAATTTTAAAATTAGACAGTTATAGAGCATCAAAAACTGACGATAGAAAAAGAAAAATACCAGATAAAATCCAGACGTCGAGATACGACTACTATTATCATTTGTTGCTGTAAACGATGAAGGTTCTAGGGGAACTATTAGGAAATCGGGTGCCTTCATTCTTTCAGTAAAGGCTCCAAAAATACCATTTTCAACATTTATAATGGTATATTTATCAAGCAACTTTGTTTGTATCTTTACTATTTGATTAGCTTGAAGTATATTAATCTTGGGTTCGAGCGGCTCAATGTAATATTTGTTTATGAACCGAATAATCTACTCAGAAACCTGCGTTCAAAATATTTATGAATTATTTTCGTCGAAAAAAAAATGAGAACATTTCTAGAAAAATGCAAATGTAGTATATATATATTATTACAATTTCTATCGTTAACCATGGTTTGAAGTAAAATGTATATATTTTTTTTTAAGGTCATCTAACGTTACATTTATAAAAGTATAAAGAAGAAACTTTTTTTAAAAAAATTAAAATCATTTATCGTTACATTTATAAAAGTATAATGAAGAAACTTTTTATTAAAAAAAGTAAAAGTTTATAATTTATTTTATTAATCATGTGTTTAAGAATTTTAAAGGGTTCAAAAATTAAGTAAATATAACTTCTTATGTTGTGGTTAGTGCTTGAGATTTATAGGCTAGCTAATCCAGGTATATTTGATGACGAGTTTCAATTTGAGATATAGTTGCAACGAGTGAGATCTCCGAGGCAAGATGTCAATTAGGCATGAAAATATTAACTCAA